ATTACATATAAATTATATTAATGTTAAATACAAGTTAAATAAATTATAATTATATCACAAATTACAAAATTAAAATATAATTATCTTTTTTGAAAGCCAAAAATCATTGTGGAATTAATTACGAAGCTAGAAAGAAGCCAGTGGTGACATAGTCCCAACACATAGTGTTAGCATGAAAAAAGCAACCCTTTTATTTCTACCTATAAACGATGGCAGGCCAAAATACCTTCCAAAATTGTCAGCGTTGGGCACACCAAGCAACCCCGCAACCTGATCACGTGTATCCTCTGTGGTATTCCTACTAAAAGAGATATTGAATTTATGGATATATAATTATCTAAACATATTATATTCGAATTATTATTTTTAGATTACGAAAGAACTTCGCAAACATTATCAAAGGGTAAATCTCACATCTATGTAATATCTAGTAAAGAAAAAAAGATAAATCACTGTACAAGACCATGTGTGACAAAAGAAAGTGTTGGCAAAGTTTTTAATTTATTTTATATGATATTTTTATTTCCAAGATTCCTCGTATGGCAAGAAAATCATCTTCACTCTCCCAAGGAAATCTGCATCGTGAAAATTATGTCTAATTGCAAAATTTTTTAAAGTGTTCGAGTGTAAGTGAACCGTTTTAATGTGTGAGGGCCTAATTGATTTTTCATCTAAAGTTAAGGAGTCTATTTGACCATTTTTCATTTTTGTTGGGGAAGAGTTTATTTTGTAGGATTTTTCCTTTTTGTTGGGGAAGATTTTATGTTTTAGGTTTTTCATAAAGGGAAATAATTTAAGCGACCACACAGTGGGACTCAAACCCACGACCTTCTAATTCGAAGTCAGACACGCTAATCCACTACACTATGCGCTCATACATATATACATTTAAACTAATATTCTTAATTTAGAATATTTAATCATTGTTGTCAATAAGTGCACGTATATGTCGAATATACGCCGCGTTGTGCATATACAATATATCTTTTGATAACACAGGAGACGTTGTACGATATATTAGTTGCGGCCCATATATACATTTATGAACTATATATTTTTAAATTTTATAATATTATAATTATAAAATAAAAATATTACATATAAATTATATTAATGTTAAATACAAGTTTAAAAAAATTATAATTATATCACAATTTACAAAATTAAAATATAATTATCTTTTTTGAAAGCCAAAAATCATTGTGGAATTAATTGTGAAGCTAGAAAGAAGCCAGGGGAGATATAGTCCCAACACACAGTGTTAGCATGAAAAAGCAACCCTTTTATTTCTGCCTATAACGATGGCAGGCCCAAATACCTTCCAAAACAGTCAGCGTTGGGCACCCCAAGCAGCCCCACAACCTGATCACGTGTATCCTCCGTGGTATTCCTACTAAAAGAGATATTGAATTTATGGAAATATAATTATCTAAACATATTATATTCGAATTATTATTTTTAGATTACGAAAGAACTTTGCAAACATTATCTAAGGGTAAATCTCACATCTATGTAATATCAAGTAAAGAAAAAAGATAAATCACTGTACAAGACCATGTCTGACAAAAGAAGGTGTTGGCAGAATTTTTATTTTATATGATATTTTTATTTGCAAGAAAATCATCTTCACTCTCCAAAGCAAATCTGCATCGTGTAAATTATGTCTAATTGCAAAATTTTTAATGTGGAAGGGCCTAATTCATTATTCATCAAAAGTGAAGGAGTCTATTTGACCATTTTTCCTTTTTGTTGGGGAAGAGTTTAGGTTTAAGGATTTTTCCTTTTTGTTGGGGAAGAGTTTATATTTTAGGTTTTTCTTAAAGGGAAATAATTTAGGCGACCGTAGTGGGTGTCAAACCCACGACCTTCTGATCCAAAGTCAAACGCGCTAATCCACTACGCTATGCGTTCATACATATATAATTTTAAACTAATCTTGTTAATTTAGAATATTTAATCATTGTTGTCAACAAGTGCACGTATATGTCGAATATATGCCGCGCAGTGCATATACAATATATCTTTTGATAACACTTGAGACCTTGTAAGATATATTAGTTGCGACCTATATATACATTTTTATAAATTATATTAAGTTATGAACTATATATTTTTTAATTTTATAATATTATAATTATAAAATAAAAATATTACATATAAATTATATTAATGTTAAATACAAGTTAAAAAAATTATAATTATATCACAATTTACAAAATTAAAATATACTTATCTTTTTTGAAAGCCAAAAATTATTATGGAATTAATTACAAAGCTAGAAAGAAACCAGGGGGGACATAGTCCAAACACATAGTGTTAGCATGAAAAAGCAACCCTTTTATTTCTACCTATAAACGATGGCAGGCCAAAATACCTTCCAAAATTGTCAACGTTGGGCACACCAAGCAGCCCCGCAACCTGATCACGTGTATCCTCCGTGGTATTCCTACTAAAAGAGATATTGAATTTATGAAAATATAATTATCTAAACATATTATATTCGAATTATTATTTTTAGATTACGAAAGCACTTTACAAACATTATCTAAGGGTAAATCTCACATATATGTAATATCTATTAAAAAAAATAGATAAATCACTGTAAAGGACCATGTGTGACAAAAGAAGGTGTTGGCAGAGTTTTTATTTTATATGATATTTGTATTTCTAAGATTCCTGGAATGGCAAGAAAATCATCTTCACTCTCCCAAGGAAATCTGCATCGTGTAAATTATGTATAATTGCAAAATTTTAAAGAGTTCGAGTGTAATTAAACCTTTTTAATGTCTGGGGTCCTAATTGATTTTACATCAAAAGTTAAGGAGTCTATTTGACCATTTTTCCTTTTTGTTTGGGAAGAGTTTATGTTTTAGGATTTTTCCTTTTTGTTGGGGAAGAGATTATGTTTTAGGTGTTTCTAAAAGGGATATAAATTAAGCGAACCCACGACCTTCTGATCCGAAGTCAGACGCGCTAATCCACTGCGCTATGCGGTAATACATATATACTTTTAAACTAATATTGTTAATATAGAATATTTAATCATTGTTGTCAACAAGTGCACGTATATGTCGAATATACGCCGCGCAGTGCATATACAATATATCTTTTGATAACACTTGAGACCTTGTACGATATTGTAGTTGCGGCCTATATATACATTTTTATAAATTATATTAAGTTCTGAACTATATATTTTCAAATTTTATAATATTATAATTATAAAATAAAAATATTACATATAAATTAGATTAATGTTAAATAGAAGTTAAATAAATTATAATTATATCACAAATTACAAAATTAAAATATAATTATAGTTTTTCAAAGCCATAAATCATTGTGGAATTAATTACAAAGCTTGAAAGAAGCCAGGGGGACATAGTCTCAACACATAATTTTAACATGAAAAAGCAACCCTTTTATTTCTACCTATAAACGATGGCAGGCCCAAATACCTTCAAAAATTGTCAGCGTTGGGCACACCAAGCAGCCCCGCAACCTGATCACGTGTATCCTCCGTGGTATTCCTACAAAAAGAGATATTAAATTTATACAAATATAATTATCTTAACATATTATATTCGAATTATTATTTTTAGATTACGAAAGAACTTTACAAACATTATCTAAGGGTAAATCTCACATCTATGTAATATCTAGTAAAGAAAAAAGATAAATCACTGTACAAGACCATGTGCGACAAAAGAAGGTGTTGGCAGAATTTTTATTTTATATGATATTTGTATTTGTAAGATTCCTGGAATGGGAAGAAAATCATCTTCACTCTCCCAAGGAAATCTGCATCGTGTAAATTATGTCTAATTGAAAAATTTTAAAGAGTTCGAGTGTAATTGAACCTTTTTAATGTGTGAGGGCCTAATTTATTTTTCATCTAAAGTGCAAAATTTTAAAGAGTTCGAGTGTAATTGAACCTTTTTAATGTGTGAGGGCCTAATTGATTTTTCATCTGAAGTTAAGGAGTCTATTTGACCATTTTTTCTTTTTGTTTGGGAAGAGTTTATGTTTTTCTTAAAGGGAAATAATTTAAGCGACCATAGTGGGAGGCGAACCCACGACCTTCTGATCCGAAGTCAGATGCACTGATCCACTGCGCTATGCGGTCATACATATATATTTTTAAACTAATATTTTTAATTTAGAATAGGGAAAATCGTACTTTTGGTCCCTCAATTGTTATCCGAGCTGCAATGTGGTCCCTCATTGACAATTTCAGTCAATTGGTCCTTCAAAACTTTAAATCGTAGTCAATTTGGCCTTTCGGTCAGATTTCTTCCTAACCAGGGTTAAATTCAGTGACAAAATAGTAATTTCGCTTTACCCTCTTTACCTCATCCTTCTCTCTTTCTCATTTTCACATGAAATCCATCAATTTTTCCGTTCACCAGACGTTCTCCTCCACGTCGCTTGTGATTAACAACATACGGAGATGATGAGAGCGGTGTGGAGGAAATCTTGGAATCATCTACTTCCTCCATCCGAGCACCATATAATACGTGCCACCGCTACCGATGCTCTTATTGGTATAATACGCTTACGGTTTGGAGGAAAATTCCTCGAAACTGAAAGGCGATTTGTAGGTATCTCAAACGCGAGGCTCAATAAAATTCTCTAGAGCGATGACTGTGAAAGTATGCATGTTGGCCGGCGGCAGAGATTAGAAAATGGTGAACTTTATGGCGGCGGAGACGGGGCAAAAGAGAGACGAGGCGCGAAGGCGGAGGGAGAATTTGATGTTGGAGTTTTGAATAAACATCTGACTCATCTTCCCCTACTCGCACATCTCTGCAGGAATTGGTCTGATGAAGAAATTTTCCTAGACGTCGATGAAATCAAACTCTGCCCACGAGCCCAGCTTTGAAGGGAGCTAGCCAGAGAGGCTGTTGGTATTAGAGAGACAAGTTTGCCAGTTTCTTGAATTCCCCCAACTCCGACGGTAACTCGCCAAAAAAATGATTTTCAAGAAGTTGCAGACTTACCAGTTGGGTCAAGTTCCTGATCTCGGAGAGATCATCATAGAGATAATTCTTTGAACCATCTAGAAATTCCAGGTTCGTCAGGTTCCCAAACCCAACCGGTAGCTTCTCGGTGAGCTCGTTGCTGTAAAGTTCGAGCTGCTATAGTTTCCGAAGGTTCAAAATTCCGGCAGGAATTTTCGCTGAAAAGATAGTTCAAAGACAGCTCCAAATCGATAAGCTCCGTAAGATTTCCAATCACTTCTAGAATCCTCCATTCCAGACTACATTTCGATAGATACAATCAATTGAATTCCAACAAGTACGCTTCGTAATCACTTCCAAGAACAGAGTCTTCTAGAATGAATTATCTCTGATTCTAAGAACCTCTAGCTTCGTAACATTTGCATGTGAATTCCATAAAAATTTCCCGACGAATCTACGGCGGTCCATGTACAGATGTGTCAGCTCACTAAGCGCCGACATGGCGACCTGGATAATAAATTGTTCCCGAGATCTAAATACTTCAGGCCAACGCTTTTATTCAGGTCGTCGAAGAGCCGGGCGGAAAATGAGTTGTGCCGAAGAGCGAGCTTCTCAAATCCGGCTAAAATGAATTTGGGGTAACTAAGGCTATTGTGAAATTATCAAACTGTCTATAAATGTTACCCTGGTTTGAGAGAAATCTGATCGGAGGGCCAAATTGACTATGATTTAAAGTTTTGAAGGACCCAATTGACTGAAATTGAAAATGAGGGACCACATTACAGATCGGGTAACAATTGAGGGACCAAAAGTGCGATATTCCGTTTAGAATATTTAATCATTGTTGTCAACAAGTGCACGTATATGTCGAATATACGCCGCGCAGTGCATATACAATATATCTTTTAATAACACTTGAGAGACCTTGTACGATATATTAGTTGCGGCCTATATATACATTTTTATAAATTATATTAAGTTATGAACAATATTTTTTAAATTTTGGAATAATATAATTATAAAATAAAAATATTACATATAAATTATATTAATGTTAAATACAAGTTAAAAAAAATTATAATTATATCACAATTTACAAAATTAAAATATAATTATCTTTTTTGAAAGCCAAAAATCATTGTGGAATTAATTACGAAGATAGAAAGAAGCCAGTGGGGACATAGTCCCAACACATTGTTAGCATGAAAAAGCAACCCTTTTATTTCTACCTATAAACGATGGCAGGTCCAAATACCTTCCAAAATTGTCTGCGTTGAGCACACCAAGCAGCCCCGCAACCTGATCACGTGTACCCCCCGTGGTATTCCAACGAAAAGAGATATTGAATTTAGGCAAATATAATTATCTTAACATATTATATTCGAATTATAATTTTTAGATTACGAAAGAACTTTACAAACATTATCTAAGGGTAAATATAACATCTATGTAATATCAAGTAAAGAAAAAAGATAAATCACTGTACAAGACCATGTGTGACAAAAGAAGGTGTTGGCAGAATTTTTAATTTATATGATATTTGTATTTGTAAGATTCCTGGAATGGCAAGAAAATCATCTTCACTCTCCCAAGGAAATCTGCATCGTCTAAATTATATCTAATTGCAAAATTTTAAAGAGTTCGAGTGTAATTGAACCTTTTTAATGTGTGTGGGCCTAATTGATTCTTCACCTAAAGTTAAGGAGTCTATTTGACCATTTTCCCTTTTTGTTGGGGAAGAGTTAATGTATCGTCTAAATTATATCTAATTGCAAAATTTTAAAGAGTTCGAATGTAATTGAACCTTTTTAATGTGTGTGGGCCTAATTGATTCTTCACCTAAAGTTAAGGAGTCTATTTGACCATTTTCCCTTTTTGTTGGGGAAGAGTTAATGTTTTAGGATTTTTCCTTTTTGTTGGGGAAGAGTTTATGTTTTAGGTTTTTCTTAAAGGAAAATAATTTAAGCGACCGCACGACCTTCTGATCCGAAGTCAAACGCGCTAATCCACTGCGCTATGCGGTCTTACATATATACTTTTAAACTAATATTGTTAATTTAGAATATTTAATCATTGTTGTCAACAAGTGCACGTATATGTCGAATATACGCCGCGCAGTGCATATACAATATATCTTTTGATAACACTTGAGAGACCTTGTACGATATATTAGTTGCGGCCTATATATACATTTTTATAAATTATATTAAGTTATGAACTATATATTTATAAATTTTGGAATATTATAATTATAAAATAACAATATTACATATAAATTATATTAATGTTAAATACAAGTTAAAAAAAATTATAATTATATCACAATTTACAAAATTAAAATATAATTATCTTTTTTGAAAGTCAAAAACCATTGTGGAATTAATTACGAAGCTAGAACGAAGCCAGTGGGGACATAGTCCTAACACATATTGTTAGCATGAAAAAGCAACCCTTTTATTTCTACCTATAAACGATGGCAGGCCCAAATACCTTCCAAAATTGTCACCGTTGGGCACACCAAGCAGCCCCGCAACCTGATCACGTGTATCCTCCGTGGTATTCCCACGAAAAGAGATATTGAATTTATGCAAATATAATTATCTTAACATATTATATTCGAATTATAATTTTTAGATTACGAAATAACTTTATAAACATTATCTAAGGGTAAATCTCACATCTATGTAATATCTAGAAAAGAAAAAAGATAAATCACTGTACAAGACCATGTGTGACAAAAGAAGGTGTTGGCAGAATTTTAATGTTATATGATATTTGCATTTGTAAGATTCCTGGAATGGCAAGAAAATCATCTTCACTCCCCCAAGGAAATCTGCATCGTGTAAATTATATCTAATTCCAAAATTTTAAAGAGTTAGAGTGTAATTGAACCTTTTTAATGTGTGTGGGCCTAATTGATTCTTCATCTAAAGTTAAGGAGTCTATTTGACAATATTTCCTTTTTGTTGGGGAAGAGTTTATGTTTTAGGTTTTTTTTAAAGGGAAATAATTTAAACGACCACAGTGGGAGTCGAACCCACGACCTTCTGATCCGAAGTCAGACGCGCTAATTCTCTGCGCTATGCAGTCATACATATATACTTTTAAACTAATATTGTTAATTTAGAATATTTAATCATTGTTGTCAACAAGTGCACGTATATGTCGAATATACGCCGCGCAGTGCATATACAATATATCTTTTGATAACACTTGAGACCTTGTACGATATATTAGTTGCGGCCTATATATACATTTTTATAAAATATATTAAGTTAATAACTATATATTTTTAAATTTTATAATATTATAATTATAAAATAAAAATATTACATATAAATTATATTAATGTTAAATACAAGTTAAAAAAATTATAATTATATCACAATTTACAAAATTAAAATATAATTATCTTTTTTGAAAGCCAAAAATCATTGTGGAATTAATTACGAAGCTAGAAAGAAGCCAGGGAGGACATAGTCCCAACACATCGTGTTAGCATGAAAAAGCAACCCTTTTATTTCTACCTATAAACGATGGCAGACCCAAATACCTTCCAAAATCTTCAGCGTTGGGCACACCAAGCAGCCCCGCAACCTGATCACGTGTATCCTCCGTGGTATTCCTACTAAAAGAGATATTGAATTTATGGAAATATAATTATCTAAACATATTATATTCGAATTATTATTTTTAGATTACGAAAGAACTTTGCAAACATTATCTAAGGGTAAATCTCACATCTATGTAATATCAAGTAAAGAAAAAAGATAAATCACTGTACAAGACCATGTCTGACAAAAGAAGGTGTTGGCAGAATTTTTATTTTATATGATATTTTTATTTGCAAGAAAATCATCTTCACTCTCCAAAGCAAATCTGCATCGTGTAAATTATGTCTAATTGCAAAATTTTAAAGAGTTCGAGTGTAATTGAACCTTTTTAATGTGGAAGGGCCTAATTCATTATTCATCAAAAGTGAAGGAGTCTATTTGACCATTTTTCCTTTTTGTTGGGGAAGAGTTTAGGTTTAAGGATTTTTCCTTTTTGTTGGGGAAGAGTTTATATTTTAGGTTTTTCTTAAAGGGAAATAATTTAGGCGACCGTAGTGGGTGTCAAACCCACGACCTTCTGATCCAAAGTCAAACGCGCTAATCCACTACGCTCTGCGTTCATACATATATAATTTTAAACTAATCTTGTTAATTTAGAATATTTAATCATTGTTGTCAACAAGTGCACGTATATGTCGAATATATGCCGCGCAGTGCATATACAATATATCTTTTGATAACACTTGAGACCTTGTAAGATATATTAGTTGCGACCTATATATACATTTTTATAAATTATATTAAGTTATGAACTATATATTTTTTAATTTTATAATATTATAATTATAAAATAAAAATATTACATATAAATTATATTAATGTTAAATACAAGTTAAAAAAATTATAATTATATCACAATTTACAAAATTAAAATATACTTATCTTTTTTGAAAGCCAAAAATTATTGTGGAATTAATTACAAAGCTAGAAAGAAACCAGGGGGGACATAGTCCAAACACATAGTGTTAGCATGAAAAAGCAACCCTTTTATTTCTACCTATAAACGATGGCAGGCCAAAATACCTTCCAAAATTGTCAACGTTGGGCACACCAAGCAGCCCCGCAACCTGATCACGTGTATCCTCCGTGGTATTCCTACTAAAAGAGATATTGAATTTATGAAAATATAATTATCTAAACATATTATACTCGAATTATTATTTTTAGATTACGAAAGCACTTTACAAACATTATCTAAGGGTAAATCTCACATATATGTAATATCTATTAAAAAAAATAGATAAATCACTGTAAAGGACCATGTGTGACAAAAGAAGGTGTTGGCAGAGTTTTTATTTTATATGATATTTGTATTTCTAAGATTCCTGGAATGGCAAGAAAATCATCTTCACTCTCCCAAGGAAATCTGCATCGTGTAAATTATGTATAATTGCAAAATTTTAAAGAGTTCGAGTGTAATTAAACCTTTTTAATGTCTGGGGTCCTAATTGATTTTACATCAAAAGTTAAGGAGTCTATTTGACCATTTTTCCTTTTTGTTTGGGAAGAGTTTATGTTTTAGGATTTTTCCTTTTTGTTGGGGAAGAGATTATATTTTAGGTGTTTCTAAAAGGGATATAAATTAAGCGAACCCACGACCTTCTGATCCGAAGTCAGACGCGCTAATCCACTGCGCTATGCGGTAATACATATATACTTTTAAACTAATATTGTTAATATAGAATATTTAATCATTGTTGTCAACAAGTGCACGTATATGTCGAATATACGCCGCGCAGTGCATATACAATATATCTTTTGATAACACTTGAGACCTTGTACGATATTGTAGTTGCGGCCTATATATACATTTTTATAAATTATATTAAGTTCTGAACTATATATTTTCAAATTTTATAATATTATAATTATAAAATAAAAATATTACATATAAATTAGATTAATGTTAAATAGAAGTTAAATAAATTATAATTATATCACAAATTACAAAATTAAAATATAATTATAGTTTTTCAAAGCCATAAATCATTGTGGAATTAATTACAAAGCTTGAAAGAAGCCAGGGGGACATAGTCTCAACACATAATTTTAACATGAAAAAGCAACCCTTTTATTTCTACCTATAAACGATGGCAGGCCCAAATACCTTCAAAAATTGTCAGCGTTGGGCACACCAAGCAGCCCCGCAACCTGATCACGTGTATCCTCCGTGGTATTCCTACAAAAAGAGATATTAAATTTATACAAATATAATTATCTTAACATATTATATTCGAATTATTATTTTTAGATTACGAAAGAACTTTACAAACATTATCTAAGGGTAAATCTCACATCTATGTAATATCTAGTAAAGAAAAAAGATAAATCACTGTACAAGACCATGTGCGACAAAAGAAGGTGTTGGCAGAATTTTTATTTTATATGATATTTGTATTTGTAAGATTCCTGGAATGGGAAGAAAATCATCTTCACTCTCCCAAGGAAATCTGCATCGTGTAAATTATGTCTAATTGCAAAATTTTAAAGAGTTCGAGTGTAATTGAACCTTTTTAATGTGTGAGGGCCTAATTGATTTTTCATCTAAAGTGCAAAATTTTAAAGAGTTCGAGTGTAATTGAACCTTTTTAATGTGTGAGGGCCTAATTGATTTTTCATCTGAAGTTAAGGAGTCTATTTGACCATTTTTTCTTTTTGTTTGGGAAGAGTTTATGTTTTTCTTAAAGGGAAATAATTTAAGCGACCATAGTGGGAGGCGAACCCACGACCTTCTGATCCGAAGTCAGATGCACTGATCCACTGCGCTATGCGGTCATACATATATATTTTTAAACTAATATTTTTAATTTAGAATAGGGAAAATCGTACTTTTGGTCCCTCAATTGTTATCCGATCTGCAATGTGGTCCCTCATTGACAATTTCAGTCAATTGGTCCTTCAAAACTTTAAATCGTAGTCAATTTGGCCTTTCGGTCAGATTTCTTCCTAACCAGGGTTAAATTCAGTGACAAAATAGTAATTTCGCTTTACCCTCTTTACCTCATCCTTCTCTCTTTCTCATTTTCACATGAAATCCATCAATTTTTCCGTTCACCTGACGTTCTCCTCCACGTCGCTTGTGATTAACAACATACGGAGATGATGAGAGCGGTGTGGAGGAAATCTTGGAATCATCTACTTCCTCCATCCGAGCACCATATAATACGTGCCACCGCTACCGATGCTCTTATTGGTATAATACGCTTACGGTTTGGAGGAAAATTCCTCGAAACTGAAAGGCGATTTGTAGGTATCTCAAACGCGAGGCTCAATAAAATTCTCTAGAGCGATGACTGTGAAAGTATGCATGTTGGCCGGCGGCAGAGATTAGAAAATGGTGAACTTTATGGCGGCGGAGACGGGGCAAAAGAGAGACGAGGCGCGAAGGCGGAGGGAGAATTTGATGTTGGAGTTTTGAATAAACATCTGACTCATCTTCCCCTACTCGCACATCTCTGCAGGAATTGGTCTGATGAAGAAATTTTCCTAGACGTCGATGAAATCAAACTCTGCCCACGAGCCCAGCTTTGAAGGGAGCTAGCCAGAGAGGCTGTTGGTATTAGAGAGACAAGTTTGCCAGTTTCTTGAATTCCCCCAACTCCGACGGTAACTCGCCAAAAAAATGATTTTCAAGAAGTTGCAGACTTACCAGTTGGGTCAAGTTCCTGATCTCGGAGAGATCATCATAGAGATAATTCTTTGAACCATCTAGAAATTCCAGGTTCGTCAGGTTCCCAAACCCAACCGGTAGCTTCTCGGTGAGCTCGTTGCTGTAAAGTTCGAGCTGCTATAGTTTCCGAAGGTTCAAAATTCCGGCAGGAATTTTCGCTGAAAAGATAGTTCAAAGACAACTCCAAATCGATAAGCTCCGTAAGATTTCCAATCACTTCTAGAATCCTCCATTCCAGACTACATTTCGATAGATACAATCAATTGAATTCCAACAAGTACGCTTCGTAATCACTTCCAAGAACAGAGTCTTCTAGAATGAATTATCTCTGATTCTAAGAACCTCTAGCTTCGTAACATTTGCATGTGAATTCCATAAAAATTTCCCGACGAATCTACGGCGGTCCATGTACAGATGTGTCAGCTCACTAAGCGCCGACATGGCGACCTGGATAATAAATTGTTCTCGAGATCTAAATACTTCAGGCCAACGCTTTTATTCAGGTCGTCGAAGAGCCGGGCGGAAAATGAGTTGTGCCGAAGAGCGAGCTTCTCAAATCCGGCTAAAATGAATTTGGGGTAACTAAGGCTATTGTGAAATTATCAAACTGTCTATAAATGTTACCCTGGTTTGAGAGAAATCTGATCGGAGGGCCAAATTGACTATGATTTAAAGTTTTGAAGGACCCAATTGACTGAAATTGAAAATGAGGGACCACATTACAGATCGGGTAACAATTGAGGGACCAAAAGTGCGATATTCCGTTTAGAATATTTAATCATTGTTGTCAACAAGTGCACGTATATGTCGAATATACGCCGCGCAGTGCATATACAATATATCTTTTAATAACACTTGAGAGACCTTGTACGATATATTAGTTGCGGCCTATATATACATTTTTATAAATTATATTAAGTTATGAACAATATTTTTTAAATTTTGGAATATTATAATTATAAAATAAAAATATTACATATAAATTATATTAATGTTAAATACAAGTTAAAAAAAATTATAATTATATCACAATTTACAAAATTAAAATATAATTATCTTTTTTGAAAGCCAAAAATCATTGTGGAATTAATTACGAATATAGAAAGAAGCCAGTGGGGACATAGTCCCAACACATTGTTAGCATGAAAAAGCAACCCTTTTATTTCTACCTATAAACGATGGCAGGTCCAAATACCTTCCAAAATTGTCTGCGTTGAGCACACCAAGCAGCCCCGCAACCTGATCACGTGTACCCCCCGTGGTATTCCAACGAAAAGAGATATTGAATTTAGGCAAATATAATTATCTTAACATATTATATTCGAATTATAATTTTTAGATTACGAAAGAACTTTACAAACATTATCTAAGGATAAATATAACATCTATGTAATATCAAGTAAAGAAAAAAGATAAATCACTGTACAAGACCATGTGTGACAAAAGAAGGTGTTGGCAGAATTTTTAATTTATATGATATTTGTATTTGTAAGATTCCTGGAATGGCAAGAAAATCATCTTCACTCTCCCAAGGAAATCTGCATCGTCTAAATTATATCTAATTGCAAAATTTTAAAGAGTTCGAGTGTAATTGAACCTTTTTAATGTGTGTGGGCCTAATTGATTCTTCACCTAAAGTTAAGGAGTCTATTTGACCATTTTCCCTTTTTGTTGGGGAAGAGTTAATGTATCGTCTAAATTATATCTAATTGCAAAATTTTAAAGAGTTCGAATGTAATTGAACCTTTTTAATGTGTGTGGGCCTAATTGATTCTTCACCTAAAGTTAAGGAGTCTATTTGACCATTTTCCCTTTTTGTTGGGGAAGAGTTAATGTTTTAGGATTTTTCCTTTTTGTTGGGGAAGAGTTTATGTTTTAGGTTTTTCTTAAAGGAAAATAATTTAAGCGACCGCACGACCTTCTGATCCGAAGTCAAACGCGCTAATCCACTGCGCTATGCGGTCTTACATATATACTTTTAAACTAATATTGTTAATTTAGAATATTTAATCATGGTTGTCAACAAGTGCACGTATATGTCGAATATACGCCGCGCAGTGCATATACAATATATCTTTTGATAACACTTGAGAGACCTTGTACGATATATTAGTTGCGGCCTATATATACATTTTTATAAATTATATTAAGTTATGAACTATATATTTATAAATTTTGGAATATTATAATTATAAAATAACAATATTACATATAAATTATATTAATGTTAAATACAAGTTAAAAAAAATTATAATTATATCACAATTTACAAAATTAAAATATAATTATCTTTTTTGAAAGTCAAAAATCATTGTGGAATTAATTACGAAGCTAGAAAGAAGCCAGTGGGGACATAGTCCTAACACATATTGTTAGCATGAAAAAGCAACCCTTTTATTTCTACCTATAAACGATGGCAGACCCAAATACCTTCCAAAATCTTCAGCGTTGGGCACACCAAGCAGCCCCGCAACCTGATCACGTGTATCCTCCGTGGTATTCCTACTAAAAGAGATATTCAATTTATGGAAATATAATTATCTAAACATATTATATTTGAATTATTATTTTTAGATTACGAAAGAACTTTGCGTACATTATCTATGGGTAAATCTCACATCTATGTAATATCAAGTAAAGAAAAAAGATAAATCAATGTACAATACCATGTGTGACAAAAGAAAGTGTTGGCATAATTTTTATTTTATATGATATTTTTATTTGTAAGATTCCTCGAATGGCAAGAAAATCACCTTCACCCTCCCATGGAAATCTGCATCGTGTAAATTATGTCTAATTGCAAAATGTTAAAGAGTTCGAGTGTAATTGAACCTTTTTAATGTGTGAGGGCCTAATTGATTTTTCATCTAAAGTTAAGGAGTCTATATGACCATTTTTCCTTTTTGTTGGGGAAGAGTTTATGTTTTAGGTTTTTCTTAAAGGGAAATAATTTAAGCAACCACAGTAGGAGTCGAACCCACGACCTTCTGATCCGAAGTTAAACGCACTAATCCACTGCGCTATGCAGTCATACATATATACTTTTAAACTAATATTTTGAATTTAGAATAGGGAAAATCGTACTTCTGGTCCCTCAATTGTTATCCGATCTGCAATGTGGTCCCTCATTGTCAATTTCAGTCAATTGGTCCTTCAAAACATTAAATCGTAGTTAATTTGGCCCTTCGGTTAGAGTTCTCCCAAACCAAGGTTAAATTCATGGACAAAATAGTAATTTCGCTTTACCCTCTTTACCTCATCCATCTCTCTTGCTCATTTTCACGTGAAATCCATCGATTTTTCCGTTCACGTGACGTTCTCCTCCACGCCGCTTGTGATTAACAACATATGGAGATGGTGAAAGCGGTGTGGAGGAAATCTCGGAGTTCGGAGCTGGTACCGGAGTTATATAGAGAGCCGGAGAAATGTAAACATGATTGGCAGACGGAGTCTTGGAATCATCCACTTCCTCCATCCGAGCACCATATAATACGTGCCACCGTTACCGATGCTCTTATTGGTATAATACGCTCCCGGTTTGGAGGTAAATTCCTCGAAACCGAAATGCGATTTGTAGGTATCTCAAACGCGAGGCTCGATAAAATTCTCTAGAGCGATGACTGTGAAAGTATGCATGTTGGCCGGCGGCAGAGATTAGAAATTGGTGAACTTTATGGCGGCGGAGACGGGGCAAAAGAGAGACGAGGCGCGAAGGCGGAGGGAGAATTTGATGTTGGAGTTTTGAATAAACAACTGACTCATCTTCCCCTACTCGCACATCTCTGCAGGAATTGGTCTGATGAAGAAATTTTCCTAGACGTCGATGAAATCAAACTCTGCCCACGAGCCCATCTTTGAAGGGAGCTAGCCAGAGAGGCTGTTGGTATTAGAGAGACAAGTTCACCAGTTTCTTGAATTCCCCCAACTCCGACGGTAACTCGCCAAAAAAATGATTTTCAAGAAGTTGCAGACTTACCAGTTGGGTCAAGTGCCTGATCTCGGAGAGATCATCATAGAGATAATTCTTTGAACCATCTAGAAATTCCAGGTTCGTCAGGTTCCCAAACCCAACCGGTAGCTTCACGGTGAGCTCGTTGCTGTAAAGTTCGAGCTGCTATAGTTTCCGAAGGTTCAAAATTCCGGCAGGAATTTTCGCTGAAAAGATAGTTCAAAGACAGCTCCAAATCGATATGCTCCGTAAGATTTCCAATCCCTTCTAGAATCTTACCTTCCAGACTACATTTCGATAGATACAATCAATTAAATTCCAACGAGTACGCTTCGTAATCACTTCCAGGAACAGAGTCTTTTCGAATGAATTATCTCTGATTCTAAGAACCTCTAGCTTCGTAACATTTTCATGTGAATTCCATAAAAATTTCCCGGCGAATCTACGGCAGTCCATGTACAGATGTGTCAGCTCACTGAGCGCCGACATGGTGACCTGGATAATAAATTGTTCCCGAGATCCAAATACTTCAGGCCAACGCATTTATTCAGGTCGTCGAAGAGCCGGGCGGAAAATGAGTTGTGCCCAAGAGCGAGCTTCTCAAATCCGGCTAAAATGAATTTGGGGTAACTAAGGCTATTGTAAAATTATCAAACTGTCGATAAATTTTACCCTGATTTGAGAGAAATCTGATCGGAGGGACAAATTGACTATGAATTAAAGTTTTGAAGGACCCAATTGACTGAAATTGAAAATGAGGGACCACATTACAGATCGGGCAACAATTGAGGGACCAAAAGTGCGATATTCCCTTTAGAATATTTAATCATTGTTGTCAACAAGTGCACGTATATGTCGAATATACGCCGCGCAGTGCATATACAATATATCTTTTAATAACACTTGAGAGACCTTGTACGATATATTAATTGCGGCCTATATATACATTTTTATAAATTATATTAAGTTATGAACTATATATTTTTAAATTTTATAATATTATAATTATAAAATAAAAATATTACATATAAATTATATTAATGTTAAATACAAGTTAAAAAAATTATAATTATATCACAATTTACAAAATTAAAATATAATTATCTTTTTTGAAAGCCAAAAATCATTGTGGAATTAATTACGAAGCTAGAAAGAAGCCAGGGGGAGACATAGTCCCAACACATAGTGTTAGCATGAAAACGCAACCCTTTTATTTCTACCTATAAACGATGGCAGGCCCAAATACCTTCCAAAATTGTCAGCGTTGGGCACACCAAGCAGCCCCGCAACCTGATCACGTGTATCCTTCGTGGTATTCCTACTAAATGAGATATTGAATTCATGGAAATATAATTATTTAAACATATTATATTCGAATTATTATTTTTAGATTACGAAAGAACTTTGCAAACATTATCTTAGGGTAAATCTCACATATATGTAATATCAAGTAAAGAAAAAAGATAAATCACTGTACAAGACCATGTGTGACAAAAGAAGGTGTTGGCAGAATTTTTATTTCATATGATATTTTTATTTGTAAGATTCCTCGAATGGAAAGAAAATCATCTTCACCCTCCCAAGGAAATCTGCATCGTGTAAATTATGTCGACCATTTTTCCTTTTTGTTGGGCAAGTGTTTTTGTTTTAGGATTTTTCCTTTTTGTTGCGGAAGAGTTTATGTTTTAGGTTTTTCTTAAAGGGAAATAATTTAAGCGACCACAGTGGGAGTCAAACCCACGACCTTCTGATATGAAGTCAAACGCACTAATCCACTGCGCTATGCGGTCAAACATATATATTTTAAACTAATATTGTTAATTTAGAATATTTAATCATTGTTGTCAACAAGTGCACGTATATGTAGAATATACGTTGCGCAGTGCATATACAATATATCTTCTGATAACACTTGAGACCTGTACGATATATTAGTTGCGGCCTATATATACATTTTTATAAATTATATTAAGTTGTGAACTATATATTTTCAAATTTTATAATATTATAATTATAAAATAAAAATATTACATATAAATTATATTAATGTTAAATGCATGTTAAAAAAATTACAATTATATCACAATTTACAAAATTAAAATATAATTATCTTTTTTGAAAGCCAAAAATCATTGTGGAATTAATTACGAAGCTAGAAAGAAGCCAGGGGGGACATAGTCCCAACACATTGTGTTAGCATGAAAAAGCAACCCTTTTATTTCTAGCTATAAACGATGGCAGGCCCAAATACCTTCCAAAATTGTCAGCGTTGGGCACACCAAGCAGACCCGCAACCTGATCACGTGTATCCTCCGTGGTATTCCTACTAAAATAGATATTGAATTTATGGAAATATAATTATCTAAACATATTATATTCGAATTAATATTTTTAGATTACGAAAGAACTTTGCAAATATTATCTAAGGGTAAATGTTAGGAATAAATTGTAAATTTTGATGAGTCGAATGTATTTTTGAAAAATCAAGTAGTCCCCATTTTTATTCTATACTAGTCAGTTTGAGTCTACTTAGTAAGGTGCACCCATATCATGCAACCCATGTACAAGTCTGGAAGATCATAATTTATTTGAAGAAGTTAAGCGGGATTCTGGCTTAACAAAATTATGATGCGGATAAGTCACCAAGAACCATGTTTGAAGAGTTTGATGATATGTGTGTAAGCTATGCTAAATGGTCCTAAGTTTGAATCTCAAGTTAAGCATTTTTACCTTACTTGGGAGACTAGGTACCACCGTATGGGAGACTAACCCCAAGAAGGAGACAAGCTAGCTTGGGAGACTAACCAAGATGGAGACTAGCTTGCTTGGGAGACTAACCCGAAGAGGGAGACTAGCTAGCTTGGGAGACTAACCAACTTGGAGACTAGGCAAGAAGGAGACTAACCAAGATGAATGCACAAGTCTCACAAAAGCCATGCACCAGATGAAGAAACACACCAAGTATGGTGGACCAAGTACAAAATCGAAACAGCGCATCTCACCATGAACAACGATGAAGTTTTTACAGAAGGTTCCAGTATATTATTCTACAAGGATCGTGAAGGAGAAAATGAACTGATATATTTTCATCTAAACATCAATCTTTTTACGGTGGAACCGGAGACGCTCGAAGGAGGCTGATTCACGGAGATATTGATTGCTTAATACTCAAGCAAGAATCAGCAGATAAATTATTTGATCAACTTGATATGTCAGAACATTTATGAATGACAAGAAATGTCAAGATTGTCACGCCGAACTTATTCAAATCTTGGAGGCTACAAAATTCAAGACACGGTAACATGCAAAATATTCAAATCATCTGACAGAAGGCGAAAAGACATCTACCTAATATTTCAGATCAAGTTGACAATTTTATTTTTGATCAACTACATACGAAGATGGACGATCGAGATCGAAAGTTGATCAACGGGCAAATAGCTTTCATTGGCTATAAATTGCCCAAGTAGACTTGAAGACAAATAAGAATTCTACAACGAAAAACAACGAAAAATATCCAATCAATCAAGAAGCAATATATTGAGCTATATACGATAGAATTCAAGTCTGAGTGAGAGAAAAATTTTATCTCTTTGTAATATTCTCTACTGAGTGTAGAAAGAGGGCGGAGTAACTAGAGAGAGTGAAAAACACTGGTTGAGTGTAGGTTTGTGCGTAGCACTTGGTGTAAAGGGCAGAGTAACATGGGGAGCTTGTGAAAACCCTGTGAGAGCGTAGCTTTGTGCGTAGTTCTCGTTGTGTAGGAGTACAGCTTGGTGCGAAGTACTCAGGAAGGCGGAGTAATAAGAGGAGCTTGCGAAAAACCTTGGAGGAGTGTAGCTTTGTGCGAAGCACTCGGAGAAGTGTCGGTGGACACTTATTCACTATTGTATCTGGGTGATCGAAGAATAGTGAATTTCCTCCTTGAAGGAAAGGAGAAGAGTGGAGTAGGAGAATTACACCATCTTTGAACCACTATAAATCTCTCTCTCTATTTATTTACTGCTCATATATTTCGTGCATGCTTATTCTAATTGCGAACTAACCAGATTACGATTTATCGCATATCTTTAACTGTCTGGGTTTGATAGTTCCCACGTTCGCATGCAAGCCAAACTTTACATACATCATCTTTGAACCATATCAAGTGTTTCTAACATGTTGCATGTTTAGAATTTCTCTTTGAGCACCGCACTATTTAAGCATAACACTTTACCGCTACCTATTCCGCTGCACACTCTAAGTTGTTTATCTTGTCGATGCTTGTTACTTAGAGTTGAAATTACCAAAGTGTTATTTGCCTTGTGTGTTTTGGAAATAAGTTTAAAAAAGTTAGAGAAGTCTATTCACCCCCCCCCCCCCTTCTCTAGTCTTCTCGCCACCCTTTCGGGACCAACAAATGGTATCAGAGCGGTTGTCTATTTGAGTCAATTTTGACTGCTAGATAGATCTCAAAATCTTCAAGATGAAGAGAGATATGGTTCTCGCTCAAAATCTGCTTTTCTCACTTAACAAATTTGATGATTGGAAAATTCGAATGGAGGTGCACTTATCTGCTCTAAATGACGAAATGTGTGAAGTCATCACAAATGGTCCTATCCAAATCATGGAAGTTAACACCACCGCCGCACTAACTCCAAATGCTCCAAAATATGTTCCAAAGCCAAAAATGGAGTGGACAAGTGAAGATAGAGCACGAAATAATTTGGACAACATTGCCAAAGATATTTTGTTCAAGGCCGTAGATGACACTATATTCCCAAAGGTTCGAAAGTGCACCACAGCAAAAGAAATATGGGATACACTTATCGGTATCGGTGAAGGCGATGAACAAGAAAAGGATAACAAACTAACCATTGCCATGAAGAGGTTCGAAGATTTCAAAATGCTACAGAACGAAAGCATCACCGACATGGAAGCTCGATTGATCAAAATCCTTGGAGAAATCACGGATCTGGGAAAGACCATCACCCAGAAGGAAATATCGCTCAAAGTGTTACGCTTACTACCAACAAGTTGGGATATGAAGGTGACCGCAATGCGTGATCATAGAGATCTAAGGAAATTATCTACGAATAAACTCTTTAGTGATCTTAAGGCGTATGAGTTCGAAATGAAGACACGAGTCGAAGAAGAACATGATGAACGAACATCTGCACTAATAGCCGAACAACCATTCTCATCAAGGTCAGTAGTAAATAATGATTTTTTATCTGACGAACAATTTTCCTTATTTGTTAGGAAATTCAAGAAATTCATGCGAAAGAACAAAGGATGACCACAAGGAAATTCTTTTCGAGAGAATAGAAGATCAAGAAGGGAACCAGTCGAAGATAACACAAATGTGTGTTACAATTGTAGAAAGCCTGGACATTTTATGGCCGAATGTCCACACCCCAAGGCGGACAAAAATTCGAACACTTCTAACTCTCCACAGGTGGAATACATATCCAAAGAGAAGAAATTCAAAAAGGGAAAACGGAAGGCAC